CAGCGTTCTGGAGGTCTTTCCTATGGGAGGTGGCTTGCTGCAAGCCGCCCCACTGGCTGGTGGCGGCCGCGCGCATGCGAAGCATGGGCAATTTGTTTGCCGGGCCTTCGCCCTTCTCGCGCTTGAGAGGAACGCCTGGGAGACCGTGCGCTTGCTCGAAAACCCACTTAAGCAGCGCCGCATGTCGCTGTGTATCCACTCTATGAGAATCATCTACGAAGACCAACGCCTAAGCTAAAAATGCGCCGCAGGATGTGCACTATGCGGCTGGCGACCCTGCCGTAGCCACGCACGGCCCCCGTGGCGCCGAAGCAGAGCGCTCGGTGCACGAACGCGAGATTCCCTCCGCGGGGCCCGACGTCTTCGCACCAGATCAGGCAGACGACGAGTTGCTGCTGGTCGGGCCTGACCGCCCACTGCCTGCAGATGTACGCTTGCTTGTGGTAAGCCTTGCAGATGCGCGGGGCTCCGCCCTCGCCCCAGTGCGCGAATTCCTTGGCGACGTGCTCTGCCGCGGCCAGGGCCGCTGGCAGGCCTTCCATGCGCATTTTTTTGCTACAGACAACGCGCTGGGGCTTAAGCCGGACCCCGTGCAGTCGTCGATGTGACGGCGCGCGTAGCTCGTCGCCGCCATTCTGCCGCATTCGCGGGAAGCGGGCGGGCGGCAGCCACTCTGCGATCGGCACCTCCGAGCGGGGACTGCCGCCATCGTCTATGTACACACGCCACGGGCCGCGCATCTGCCCAGCACTCAGATCTGCCACTGTCTGTCGCAGCACCTCGTCCGTGCCGGGCTCCCGGCGCGGACGTTGCAGCATCTCCTGCAGCGCGTCCGCGCGCCCCTCGACTGCGCGCCGCAAGGCTCTGTCTAGCGCCTCGGAGGACGGCTTCGCGGCATGCGGCGCGGCGGCGAACTGCAGCGCGTCCGGCAGTAGCCCTGTGACGGGGAAGCCGTGGGCAACGTCGAGGGTCGAGGATGACGCACATGTCGTCGTAGCTCGCCGCTTGTAACATCTGTTCGTGCAGCGGGACGTGGTAGGCCGGTGGAAGCACCGCGTCAACTCCTGGATTGAGCGAGCTGCGCCAGCGCTGCCGGGCTGGTTGCAATTGCGCGGCGATGCGGCGCCAGGTCTCGACTTGGCAGACGACCAAATGCTCAAAGTCTGGGCACGCTCGTTGCCACTTGAGCGCGCTGGTGACGCCGGCGGGCAACGGCGGCCGCTACGGCGCGCGATGCGCACGCACAGGTGCGCTGGCATGCCTATTCCTCCTCCAGGGCGAGCGCGTTGATGCGCTCGTTCGCATCCAGATCCAGCATGGACGCGGCGTACTCTACCATCTGCATGGCCGATGCCGGCCGAATGCCAGGCCGCGGGGCGCGGGCTGGCACCGGGCCCGGAGCGGGCGGCGGCGCCGGCTCACCCCGCCGCGCACTGTCGGGCGGCGGCGCCGGCTCGCCGCGAGGCGCGCCGTCGGGCGAGCTTGCCCCTGCAAGCCCGCTGCTGCCACCGCTGCCCTCGCGACGCCACGTGGGCGCGGCCGCCTGTGTCTCGGCGGCCAAGTCCTGCGGTCCACGAAGGCTGGCGGGGGCCCGCTCGCCGCCCTCGCCCACGGCGCCTAGGCAATGTGCATACCGGCACCAGTCCCCGAAGCGGCAGGTGCCAGTCGTCGCCATGGACTTGCACGGCTGCAGGTCGGCGACTTTTTGGCCGGTGCACCCGCGGCCGGCGCCTTCCTCTTGGTGCCGCGGTCCGCCTTGCCCTTGTCTATGCCTTTCGGCTGCTCCGCCCGCGCGTCTAGCTTGGGGCTGGCGGCTTCTGCCCCCGTTGCCCCGGTACCCGCGCGGTTCGGTCGCGAGGTCCTGCCGAGCCGTCTGGAGCCTCCGCGCCAGCGCCAGGTGCCCGTCCAGCTCGTCTGTGTCTGCTGGGAGGCTGGCGGTCACGGCGGCGTCGATGTGGCCGCCCTCCTGCGCTCGGCTGGCACGCGCCCACTGCCGCTGAAACATATCGAAGGCGCGTTGGAGCTCGCTGAGGCTCGGGGGCCGATACCCCGGCGCAGGCGTCCAGCTCTTGCGCGCACGCGCCCAGAACCTGGCGTGGAACGCCTCCAGCGGCTGGAGCTGGGACGCCCAGCTGGTCTAGTAGAGGAGGTTCTCCACGAACAACGTCGCCTCCTCGAGCGCCACCAAGGAGTTGGCTGCGGGCTCCTCTATGGCCGGCATCCTCCACGCGAGGACGCCCCCCGCCCCAGACTGGAGCTGGGCGTGGCCGGGCTTGCGCGACGCCGCGAGTTCCGATTGGATCTTCGTCGGCTGGAGCGGCACTTATTGATTGCTGACGCGCCTGAGCCTCTCGTGACGGCCCCACAGCCGGTCTGCTCTTGGCGACTTGACCATAGTAGGCGTCCCACTCCTCCCAATCATCGACCTGCCGTGGGGGGACACAGGGTGGAGCACCACAGCGTCCACAAGAAACAATCCACGAGAAACCCAACCCCGAGACCCCAGGACGTCCATGGATTCTTGGTGTGGGAACGTCACGCCTCGAAAGCAAGCGCATCGAAACCCAAGAGACCCAGGGCACCCTGGAGGCAAGCGGGGTGCTTCTGGCATGGTCATACACCGTAAAGGGCTCCAAGCAGGGCTGCGAGGCCACTGGTACTTCGGCGTCGCGCCGAGGGCTGGGGGCGCGGAGGAGGGAGGTTCAGAAGCAGCGTGGGCCTCGGAGGAGTGGAAGGGACCAGAGGCATCTGAAAAGGCATGCTTTTCAGGAGGGCGCCAATGTGCCCCATGATTAGGTCGGAAACGTCGTCCTACAGGCGGATGTTGGGCGAACAGCTGAAAGGAACACGAAGCAATAGTCAAACATGGTCAAACACAATCGAAGAATCGTCCCCAGACTATTTGTTTACGGGTAGAGGGACAAAGGGACACGCCCGACTTAACCCCTATGACCTATTAGAAACCCACCCCCTTGCCCCGCCCCCCCCCCCGATGCGCGCCGACAGGGGCTGGGCCTGGCTTGCCAGTGCTCAGTGTATCCTTTCCAGCCGTGAGAGAAGGGAGTTGAGCGGAAGGGTATGGCCCTAAACGAGGCCAGAGAGACCGACAAGCGAAAGCTCGCACGTCAACTCCAGCCTCGACGGGGCGGCCTGGGCACACCGCGAAGGGGAAGTGCCCAGGACACTGGGGACCCCGCGTTGTGAAACTCAAGACATCGGCTGCCTGTGACGAGCGCCAGGAAGAGACGAACGCACAACACACACCCATACCCATAGAGAGGTCGTTGGGAGGAGGACTGGCTATGGGTATGGGTGCGGGTTGTCGGACCCTGGGGAACGCTCCCGTTCGAGCGGGGACCCCCATCCGACAACACGCATCCATAGCCCTCTCCGATCCCCCTATGGGTATGGGTGTGTGCTGTTGGCTCGTCAAGGAAGAGCCGAGGAAGGCCGCAGTGAATGCACCTCGACGGCTGGTCGCGAGACACAAAACAGCTGCACATGGAACATGACGTCTGGCCCGCGGGCCACAGCAGAGTCGCAGGGAGCAGAACGGACTAAACTGGCCATCGTTCGGACATCCATTCCCTGTGTTTTTTTCGGTTTCGTGAGTGTTTTTTCGCCAAATGGTCAAGGATGCTCCTCGATGGTCCTCGCCGAAGGAAAAATGCACACGTCCGAGCGATGCCAGGTAAAAGGAGCCGAGGAGAGAGGCGACGGACAGGCAGTGAGATCCCGCCGCTTTGGCTGCAAGCTGGGGGGCGTCGCCCGAGGCGCGGGCCTTGAAAACGCGAGAGGCCGCAGGCAGCAGCCGACAGAGCTGGCAGCGTCTCGCGAGCCCCGCGCTGCAGAAACTCTGGGAGGGCGCGCGGCGAGGTGCCAAAAAACGGACGAGGCGAGACGAGAGCACGCCAGCAGGCGGTCCTGTTGGGAGCGGCGCGGGCGGGCCAGGGCCCGGTCCGCTGCTCGCGTGTGCAGCACAAACATGCTCGCAGCTGCTCCACTAATGCGGTCTCCAGCAACATCCGACCACGTCTTGGTATTATCCCCAGGAGGAGCTTGGACGGCCGAAATGGGTTCGGAAAGAATGGGCACAATGCCCATCAACAAATGTGGTCCCAAACCGACAGCGGCCGCTGTTGGGCGGGCGGTCTTCTGTCCCAAATGGACACAGGCCGCGGCTGCGCGGACAGCGAGTCCTGTTCAAAGTGAACAGGAACCGCTGTTGGGCACTGTACCCATCTGTTCTGTACCCATGTCGTGCGTGCAGAGGGAAGGGAAGGAGGCGGGAAACGCCCGCCGATCCCCGCGGCGTGCGCGGGGGAGCCGGATGCAGTCTGCACAGGAGGCGCCCGCACGCCACCGCCGTGCCTGGTCCGAGGCCCTCCTTAGGGGAACGAATAATGACATAAACATAAGAACTCGGAGGTCCGCGCGGATTCCTCGGATCCGCGCTGGACACTCGTGGCGGCGCCTGCGGCGCCGCCCCTGGCGCGCTCCGCGCGCCAGGGACAGGGGTCCAGCGCCGATCGGAGAAATTCGCGCGGACCTCCGAGTTGTTATGTTCATGTGATTTTTTGTTCCCCCATTCCTGGGCCGAGCACGGGGCACGCGCCCTCCCGCCCGAGGCTGGGTAGTCGAAGCCAATCTGGCGCCAATCTGGCAGGTGGCAAACGGGGGCAATCTGGCGAGGGAGCCAACGCGAATCCAGTCTGGCGAATAACCCAAATCATCCAGTTTGACCGGGCCAGATTGGCCCTTGGGGCCCAATCCAATCTGACAGTCTGTCCTTCGACTACCAAGCGAGGCAGTAGGGGGGTCGGCACGCCAGCCTGGAGCCCACGGCGGATCGGGAGGTCGACTCGAGCGGGGCACTTGCACCGGACCTGGCTGCACACCGAGTCGGACCGAGCTGCAGCGACGTCGACATCGACGCCGGGTCGATCGAGCCGAGATGCTCGGGCACGATGGATTGCGCGTGGGTGCCTCCTGCGAACCGTCTAGTCATGATCGACAGCCGTGGGCGCGCCCGGCCTCGTCAGCTTGCTGGTCACGGATGCAATGATCCTCGGGGCAGCGACATCAGCGGCGATGGGTCCCACCAGCCCTCCGAGCGACAGGCGGCCCAGAGCGTTCTGCCGAGCCTCCCCCCTCGTCCTCGTCCTCGCCCTCGTCCTCCTGTCCTCCTCGTCCTCGTCCTCACCCTCCTGTCCTCCTCGTCCTCGTCCTCGCCCTCGTCCTCCTGTCCTCCTCGTCCTCGTCCTCACCCTCCTGTCCTCCTCGTCCTCGTCCTCGCCCTCGTCCTCCTGTCCTCCTCGTCCCTCGGGGCCCCATTCCTGTTCTCCTCGTCCTCGTCCTCACCCTCCTCTCCATGCTGTTGCCCTTCCCCTTCTCCCCCTCTCCCGCTGCCCTCATCCTTCGCCTCCCCTGTTCCTTCTGCCCCTCCGCCCTCTCCCTGTCCCCCCTCCCAGTTACCCTCCTCCTGCGTGTATACTTACCCTCCTCTCCCTACTCCAGCGCTTGGGCCCAAACAATTGTGGAGGGGGCAATCCTCTGGGCCTCCTTGTGCCGCTTGAGTGGATAGACCGAGCTCCCCTTCCCACCGTGCACCGTGCATCCCATGCACGCTCAGTCTCGTCTAGAGCCAAGGATGCCAAGGGCTGGACCTAAGCGTTGTTGTTCGTTTCTTGCTCGTCATGTGCTTCGTCGTGCTCTGCCTGCTTTCCTGCGCCTCCCAGCCAAGACGAAAAGACAGCACAGCCGAAGTCCAGCAGAACAGCGTCTGGGGCCTCCGGCCCTGCTTCGAGGCAGCGGCGGCCGCCAGGGGCCAGACGAGGACGCGGGCGAGGTGCGCAGGTTCTCAAGCACCTCTGCGAGCACGGCAGCATGCTGCCGGAGGCTGCTAACATACGGTGGGGGCATTTTCCTCTCTCCAGCCTACATGAAGTGTGGTCCAAAGCCTCAGGTCAGGGACCGGCCTCGGCAAGGCCATGGCACAGTTCGTGCGGGCAGCCATCACAGTGGCTCATCCTCAGGCCGACGAGCTTTGGAAGGGCTGTGCGGAGCACGAGAGAGTCTCGATCACCGAAGGGTGTCGCAGGAGGCCCCGAGCACGCGCCTCTCCTCATGCTCGGTGGTGCTAGCGGAGTCCCCGACACGCAAAGCCTTCTGTTCAGGCGTGTGTGGGTCACGCTGGCTTTCTTGCACGAGAAGGAGCCCACTCTCCAGCGAGCCGCTGTCGTGAGAGACCCACTCATGGAAGTCCGCCAGAGGGGAGTGGAGTCCTATCCACCTCGCTCTGTGGATGTCGAAAGGTTCGGATCTTTATTTCTCCGGCTGCTAGTCGGTCGTTCAAGGCTGGTATGCGTAAGTTTGGACAACCCAGCGGCCAGCACGCCGACCTCTGGGCCAAGGTCGAACCAGACCTTGCGAGGAGAAGGTCAGGAGCAGTCAGTGTTATTGTTTTTTCAATTCGCACCTCAGTGCGGAGGACATCGTTACAGACAGAGCTCCCCGCTGGATGGTGGCAAGGGACCTCGTGGTTGACGAGATGGCTGGCCTGGCCGCATCAAAGGCCAGGTTGCCCGAAGAAATCCACCACACCGGCTTGATGCGCGAAAGGCGCGCCAAACTGGTGTGCATGCGCATCCTGCACGCCGCTCTCGAGGCCATGTTCTGTTGCATCCTCGGGGGACATTGTCTGTCCCGTCGCGGCCCTATCCGCATCGAATCAATGTCGAATACATGTTGGACTCGTCGGATCTGTGTCGAACCGTGTCGAATCCGTGTCGAATCCGCGTCGAGTCCGTGTCGAATCCGCGTCAAGTCTGCGAGGTCCCCCGAAGACGCAACGTAACCTGCACGTCGCTCTCTAGGCCATGGCAGCCGAAAATGTATCCGAAATGGAAACGCCATCCTCGAGCCCCGCCATCGTCACGCCTGCCGCTTCCTCCCTCGCCCGTCTCGATTCGGCGCATTGTGTGAACGACACCGGCTGTCGGAATACGAGGTGCGGAGGTTCGGCCACCCCTGCCAGGCGGACGGCCTGGCTCAGGACCCCGTGCTTATCCCTTGTCAGTCCAAGCGGTGCAATAGTTCGTGAGCCTCCTGAGGCGGTGCTGCATATTACTGGGGGCACTCATGGGATGCAGTGGCATGGTGATTTGAGCTTGTGGTATTGCATGGTGTGCGGTTTGTCTGTCATCAGACATTGATCATTTTAGGGCGCGAGCGTTTCCCACGCGTTCGTCCTAACAGAGCTGAGCACTTGCGCCACATCTCCCTGGGGCTCTGGCCAAAGGTCTTGAGCAAGGCTGGGCAATCTTCTCGGCGCAAGCGGGCGTAATGCGTGAGTGGTGGTTCAGACCCACCAGCCATTCAAGGCGTAGGTGGTCTAAAGAGCTGTCTCTTCCGACCCCCACTTCTTCCCCTTCGGGAAGGGGTTCACCCCTTCCCCGTATTTCCACCCGGGAAGGGGTTCACCCCTTCCCCGTATCCACA